ATGACTATCAGTTGACCAGCATTAAATGATCGGCAACAACTAGCCTAAACTAACCTCTAACTTTACCGTAATTTTACTCTAACCCTAATCTAATTTAGGCCGTGTCTAATCTGACGCAAGGATTGATCTGACGCACGACATATACATGACAAATTGTTATGTTAGTAAATAAAGAATATGAAATTTATTGTTTGAAATATATAGTATATTTAAATCTTAACAAGAATAGTATAAAATAATGGGTAAAAATAATTACAAATTTCTATTAATCTGTAGTCATATGAATCAAGTCAAAATATGAGAAATTATGTGAAGACCTTTTTAGAAATAAAAATTCTTCATTGGTATTTTTATTTTTGCATTTATTTTTTCTTTGCTAAATTGATTCAGATTGCAAATTTGATTAAAAAAAACTGTATAGATATTCTTAATTTTATTATTATAGCTAGAGAGATTAACTATAGCAGATCTGTATATTCTTCTAGCAAATAGTTTAAAATAGTTTGTAAAAACATTTCTATTCACAATTTTTAACCTTTTTAAAATTTTAATACTACAATTTGCAGTTGTAAAGAGAACAAAAAAATTATTTTCTGATGTTGATTTTTCATACTCTTCTTGATATTTCTTTTTACTAACTACTTTTTTTTACAATTTGAATTAGTAAATCTTATTTGAACTCTCAGTATCCAGCTAATCTAATGAAAGAAAAGAATCTCTATATAATAAAGCTGGGATATTAATTATACAATATTTGAATTACTAGATATCAATAGTAGAGTTATAGTAATCGATATTCTATTTACTTGTAGTAAAAGTTTTAGATCTTGTATTTATATAGTATTTTGCAACTTCAAGTTGTAGATTAATAGTTTTTAAATTAGATATCACCATTTAAACATGCTTTTATATAAACCTCTAAGATCATTATTAGTTCATTTTCTTCAATTACTATTAACTTTATACAACAAATAACATAATGAATTTTTCAAAACTTTGCTAAGACTTGGTTTGCAATAATATTATTAAATTCAAGAGTACTCTTGCTTTTTATAATCAGCAAACTCTCAATTTTGAAGTATTAGACTTCTATCTGTTAAGAAATATCTAAAGCCAGATTATAATATAGTGAAGTATCCTTTTAAACTATTTTCTATTTGCTCAAACTGAATTAACTCACTCTCAACAAATTTATCTAGCATTTTATTAGTTTTGGAAATAGATTTATATTTATTTAAGAGACATCTAATTAATATTGCTTATACAATAGGCCTGGCTTCTTTTACAGAAACAAAAATAGCATTTCTATATTTTTTAGTAAAATTATAATGCAAATTATTCATCAAAGTATCAATATTGCATTCTTTAATGTTATGACCAGCCAAACAATCATTTAAAACTTCTAGAACCCTTTTATACCCTCTATAGTTTTCTACAAGAGTATTAGTAATCTTATTATTTTTAAAGGCCAGAGCTCTTTGTTGATAGTTTGGAAGTTGTAGAGAAGTAACCAGAAGGTATATATGATTTCTTGTTGAATATCTTAACACACTATCAATTGGTCCAGTAATAGTTGAAGTACAAACAGATATCATAAGAATACTACTAAATACAAGATTGCAAAAGATATTAGAGTTTTATAAAATATAGAATTAAACTTTAAACTATCATTTTTGTTTTCTATAAGCTGTTGCATTTTATCAACAATTAAAATAACTATAATATTTTTTAAGTTTCAGTTATAGTATTTAGTAATTAACTTTACAATATTTATCAAATTTGGTAGCTTATATGTTACAATAATTTCATAAAAATCCATCTTTTTTCTGAGAAGTTAAAATAGTATACAAGTGCTAATAGCAAAATAAGGATTGAATTCTTATTGTTTTAAAGAAAAGCTATTCTCAAAGCTAATATAGAATACCCAAGCTTCTTTAATCTTGGTTAATAGCTTTTTATCTTTTTGAGCTAACAAACATGTGATTGCTATCTGGTAAAATTTATTAGCATTTTGAGATTTTCTGATACTAGCCCCAGAAAGAAAGAGATATACTGAAAATTTAATTTGTTGTCAATATACTCTAAAGTAAACTTTTTATAATGATTTTTAAGCATTTTTTACAAAATTTGCTTCAAAGATAGATCAGGTTGATACTCCTAATTCATACCAAAAATGCAAAACAAAGGTTTTGGTTTCATATATAGCAAGCCTAGCATATAAATTATATAATTGATTAGCCTTAATATAAGATAAACAAGAGAAACTATCGATATTATGTGACTGATCCTTCATCCAATATGCAATATATGAAAAAATTATTATTATTTTTTTTTCAGTATTAAAGTGAGGTCTTGTCTTGTATTTTTATTAAATAATTCCAAGTATTTGCCTTATATAGCTACATATCTATCTTAAAAATACAGA